CCCGCGGAGGCGGGGGGGAGCCGGGCTGACACGGGCGCCGGGCGCTGAGCCCTTGAGTGACGGGGAGGGTGGCGGCGGCGGCCGGCCACAGCGGGGGGCCAGGTTTTGTCACTCCCGTAGGCCCCAAAATATCCCTGGGGGATCGCTGGCGGAGCGCGACGTGCGCTGGCTCCCTCAGAAATAACCTGTGGCTTGTGTCCTGCCGAGCTCGGAGGTAACGAAGGCCGGAGTCAGGCCGGTTAAGAAAGAAAAAAAGCAAACCGCAGGAAGGATGAGCAGGTGATGTGGCTGCTGAAACCAGGAGAGGCCAGGAGTTGGGGCCTGCGCCGCCATCAACATGGCAAAGGCCCTGACAGGAAAAAGGAAGCTGGTCTGGCAGAGCACCGCCAGTGGAGGGGCGAACGTCCCGACACAGTCGGGTTGGCTGTCAGCAGGCACATGAGGACCTGGACTCCTCTGAAGGGACACGTAAGCCCCGATCGATCTGGCTTAACCGTGGCTTTGCTTGCTTGTAGTAGATGTTAGGAAAATGGAGTGTATTCTGTAATTTCCTGCGATACAGCCCAACATGGTGGTCGGTGCCTCAGAGCCTCATGGTAAGCCGGAGGAAGGACTCCTCCCGGGCTGGGGGTTCTCCTTCCCACTCTCTCGGAGAACCAGTTGGTGAGCGGAGAGTAAGTGTTTGCTCCGTGGGCTGGTGAGAGGCAGTGGCTGCAGTTGGTGTGCGCTGCCTGTAAGTTAAGCACATCCATTCTAAAGTCCGAGAAGTGTCAAATGCGTGAGCCAATATACAGATCTGGAGGTAGAAAGGTGAAATGAATCCTTTGGTTGGTAACCTCTAGGCTGCCACAGGCCTTCATGTGATTTTGGATAAATCAGTTTTTCTTTGCCACTGTAGAAGAGGAATAGGAATGCTTTCGCTTCTCACAGGCTGTTGTTAGGCTTAAGACTGTAATACACTTGTATTATAGTGAGATGGCTTTGTGTACGCCATTAAAATGGTTTGGCTCTTATCATCTCTCTATATAGAACGGGATTTAAAATTAACTGACATGGCAATAGGACTCGGAGGAATGTTAGGCACTGCGTGTATTACGTGAAGGATGTAAAAGGAGAAACAAAGTGTGCCAAGGCTACAAATGCCTGTGGAAAACACACAGAAAATGAGAAGGAAAAACAGGGTGAATTATTAGAAAGGCAAAAGGAGTACTGAGAGGACAAGGTCATGAAAGCCCAAAGGATGAGATTTCAAGGTGAATGTGATCAGCAAGCTCCAAGGCTGACTTAAAAAAAAAAAAAAGCCAAATGAACTGGAAAAGCTGGGAACTAAAAACAGATAGAGTCGCAGATTATTAATTTCTTTGTTCATTGCTCTTAAAGGGAGGAAAATACAGCAGAAAGAAGTGGGTTAAAACCAAGTTTTAAGTCCAGAGCATAAAGTGGACAGATTTTTAATGTAGGTTTAATGAGAGCTGTTCTTTAACTACAGGTATACGAGGTATGTCAGAAATACTAGGCTAGGCATTCCTCTAGCTTGCTTTAAACTGAGATTAATGCAACTGAATTCCTTGGACTTGCACCATCTTTAAACTGGGCTAAATGAGAAGAGAGTCAAGGCTGTTATTTTCAGAAACTTCAGAAATGCAAACAATGACGTTCTGCCAGAAAGACACTGAAGAGTTAAAGACCTTTTGCATTTGCTGCGTACTCCTTCAGCAAACATAATGGAGATGAAAGTCAGAGACTCGAAACTCAATAGTCCAGCTATGAAACAAATAAGAAAAGGACCAAGGTACAAACATGGTGCCTGGCTAAAACCTAATTATAGTTATTAATTCATGGGTTAATTTGGCTTCGAAAGTCTTTTGTTCTTTCCCTTTCTTTCCCACGTGTCTTTTGGGATGCAATTAAAAGTCTTGGTCTTGTAGTTTTTACATTTGCTAATGTGCTGAGCTTCTTCAGTTTGTCTTAACATACTGTTCCCCAGCGTGGTAAACAGACATACCAAGTTCAACAAAATCCATCTTCGGGTATATGAAGCATTTGCCATGGTTTATGATTACAGCACTTCACCGGCAGCACAAAACCATTTAATGAAAGTTGTTGTCCAGTGACAAAGCTGCAGAAAAGAGTGGTGGTGCTAAGGAAACTCTAGAAGACAATGAGTATTTATGTTACAATCATGTCTACAACATGCTGGAAATGTTTTCCAAGTGTATAAAGACTCTATTCATTGCCAAAGAGCTTGTTCCTTAAAAGACAGCGTAAGGACAAAGCACAACAAAAAGCAGCGTATGGTATACAAAGCAAAATGACCACCGTGAAGGTTACCGAAACTGAGGGGGAAGGGACTTCCTCCTCTTTCTTTTCTGCTGGTTACTCTTTCTTTTCTGCTGGTTAATCTTCACTTGCCCCCTAACGTGGCATTTCCAAGACAGCTGATTTCTTGTCCGTGTCAGTGAATGTTGGAAAAGAACTTGACTAGTGACTAGGTAGTGATGAGACATATTGCTTTGCAGAGAATGCGGGTGAAAAGTCTTTAAAGTAATACCGGCCATGATCAGGATGTTCTGGGATAAACTCAACACAAGGTCATAGTTTTTTGTCACCACTTAGATATGGATCTGATATGTTTATTAGAAATGCAAAAAAAAAAAAAAAAAGGGTTGGTCAGTAAATAACTTTTCTGTTTTCATTAAGTAGTAATAATAGCTGCATTTATACCATGCTTTATATATTTTGAGTACTGCAGGGGTAAGGTTGTATAAGCAACTGAAAAAAAATCTTTGAAGCCCATTGAAAGGGGGAATGCAGAATAACACGATTAGAGAAGTTTAATTCACAGAACAAAGTCAGCTTAGAAATAAAGTTTAAATAAAAAGTAATCTCATCTTCTGATGGTTTTGCTGCGAACAGGAAAAAAGTCCCTGGGACTCCGAGCTAAGTTTTTCACTGCTGCCAGAAGGCCACTGGGAAGCTACACATGCTCCTGAGGTTGGTGGTAGTGTAAGGCGACAGTCAGACAGATGTGTGTCCACAACAGCGTCACAATTAAAATTCAGAACTTGGGGGCTTGTAGCAATTGCTGTCTTCCCCCCAGACCACTCCACCGCGTTCTTCAGCCTGACTGCTCTTATTCCACCTAAACCATTATTCACTGATCTCAATGGTGACGTTTTTCAAGCTTGCTTTTCATACTAGCAAGTGAACTGTAACAGGTTTGCAGCTCTTCCAAATAAAACTAGAGAACTGTTCGTCTGAGTTGGATTCTCTGTTAAACTCTCTTCCTCTCTAATCGGGACAAACTGTACAAAGCACATCCACAAGGCTATGCGAGTGCTCCTTTGTTGAATGCACGCTCTTTTTCTTTCCCTGAGGTACTGAAAGGGTTAGTGTGGTTTATTCATCTCCCAAATGCCTCCCCGGCCTCCTGTTTCTGCAAAGGGAGGAAAGGGTCACCCATCAGGGGCGAGCAGGAAGGTGTAGGAGCGCAGGACGCAGGGTCCCGTCGAGTCACTCTGCGGCCGGCACAAGCTAAGGGGTCTCAGCAGTTTTCAAGATCCGGGCTTTGGCGCTCTGATATGCCAAGAGCTTGATCTCCTCCCGTCACGCAGTGCGAAGTGGCAGACAGCCCTTGGGACGAGGGAGAATCGG